TACCACTCTTTGTGAGCCTAAGTAGAACTCCCACCTTGACCCTTACCCTTCTTTGAAGCCAAATATTTCTTGTGTGACATCATTGTGAGGCCTTCTTTTCGGTTTTGAACTTAGCATAAAGTGTTAGGTTTAGGCGACATGATTTGATTCTCATATGATTGCTAGCTTTGTATTTTGAAGCTAGGTATAGGCTTAGGATAAGTTTGGGGGATCATTGGGGTTGTTTTCATGTCTATTTGTTCTCGGTTTCAAAGAGTTTGATGTTTAAAAAAAAGAAATGGGTTTTCAGTGAAAGGTTGTGTTTAAAAAAAAAAAAAACTATATATGCTCTAATAATTTCAGGAGGTAGCTCTCCCAAATAAAAAAAAAAGAAAAAAAAAAGAGCCTAAGTGCCAAATAAAAATAAAAAGAGGGAGAAAAAGAAAAAAAAATAAATAAGAGAGCTACCAATAAGAAATAGTTAAAGAGCAAAGTTATTTTCAACCTTTTCACTAGCCTAAAGAGTTTAAAAATGTTTTTGTTTCGAATTGGGGAATGCTAAGCTTTGAGAAAAAATGGTAGATTCTAACTGGTGAGTGAGGATAAAAGTTGATTAATGATAGGGGTTTAGGATCATTGTTAGTTTATATGGGTAGATGAGAATCTGATCATATATGCATCAATTGCCTTCACCTTTAGCATTATGCATAAAGTTCTTGCCATTTTTGAGAGAAACCCTTGCTTTAATTGTAAACCCTTTTCAAATGAGATCATTCTATGCACATAACCTGCGCCCTTAGCCAAATGTGTTTTGCTTTAAAGTGCATAAGTTTGATTCATGGTTCGGATGTTAATGAATGTTAAAGGATGAGTTTCTTTGATTGTTAGGAATAGGAGAGTCATGATCTGAATTTCTTTGTGTGATGAGTATGACTAAGTTGTTTGGAGTATGAGTGTGTGCATAGCATTTTAGAACTGTTAACTAGGACATTGAGATTGATTCACTTGAAAGAAGCTTAAACCCCCATTCGTTTTTATTAAAACCTCTCTTCCTTACTTATTTTCTGTTGCTTGAGGGCAAGCAAGAAGTAAGTTTGGGGGAGTTGATGTTACTGCATATTACATATATTGTGCATACACATTAGTTAGCTTTTCATGCATTTACATCATATTTTAGATTAGATTGCATCACTTAGAGTCCTAGAGCATTCTTGCACCAGCATACGCATATTCCTTGCATTTTGCATCACATTCAGGTTGTTTCTGGCTGCTTTGGAGTCGTGAAGGTTCGTGGACGTGCTGAAGCTGTTGTAGCGGTTCATGGAAGCTCGGATATTTGCTAAGGACCAGAGATCGGGGAACAGATCGAGCATGGCAGGTCGATCTAGGATGAGATCGACCAGAAGATCAAGAAGACCAGGCGATCCAAGGAAAATGATCGAGACGAAGATCGAGTGAAGCAATCGATCAAATGGTACAGACGTAAATGACGTTATACAGAGCGAGAGCCGGATCGAGTCCACCACTCGATCCAACCGAAGATCGATACCAAGATCAGATGCAACACTCGATCCGCCGAGGATGATCGAGACCCAGATCGAGTTGAAGACACGATGTCCGAAGATGATCGAGAGAGCCGGTCGATCCCGAGGTCGATCTCTGTCCTTTCAACCGCTTTTGGCTGCTAGCGAGGGGGGGGGACCATCGGGCTGTTTTCGACGTTTTGGGAAGGCGGCGACGTCTTTTTTACGGACAACTTTTTATCTTTATCTTTTTTTTATGCTTTTTTCTCTCTGGTTTTGGAGAATATCCACCATTGTCGAAGCTTGAATTTTCTTTAGCTTTATAATCGAATCGTTTTGAGTTTAATCTAGTTTCTTTTCATGTTCATCGCTTCTTTCTTCATGCTTTGCTTGATTTATCTTATGTGTAGTGAGTAGTTCATTTGGGTTCGGGGTTGAGGGAATCTAAGGGGTCAAAAGTGTTTCGATCTTGGGGTTTTCTTGTGTTTTAATGGCTATCTCTTCTAGGGTGTCGAGTTCTCAAAGCTTAAAGACTCTCACGCCAAGAGCTTTATGAACCGAGAGGTTCCTTACCTTGACAGGATCCAGGGACATCTGAAGATCACACTCTATAGACTAGTTACCCCTTCCCAAAAGCCATGGAAGTTTGGGGGACTAGTTAAGCCATTCGTTTGAAATCTGTTTCCCATGCCCTTCAACCTCTCTTTCCACCAAAAGCCATGGGTTTGGAGGAGAGGATGAAGGAGTGATCTATACCGAAAGCCACAGATAGATTTTATTTCGTTTTCAAGGCTTAGAGATTCTCACAAAGTGAGTCGATTTAAAGTTTTCAACCCAAGTTCGGACCTGTGAAACCCCTGACCATGAATCTCAACCCTAGGCCCTCTCTTTAAGCATCTTTACATCTTCTCTCGTCATTCGCTTGATCTTTGATAGCATCCTGGTCGTTAGTTTTACTGTTCTTGCATTTTTAGACGAGATCGATCGTTAATGCTCGATCTAGTGGTCGATCCCATAGTCGATCCACTAGTCGAATTTTAGTAATTCGTAGCTTTGTCATTTAATTATTCTGTTTGTTCCTCATGGTAGTTTGATCATTCCTGGTATTATTAAAATAGTTTGCATTCCATTTAGTTGCTGCATCTAGTTTTTAGAGATTTTCTCAAAACCTATCTTGTTTCGCTTAGATTTGCATAGTCCTTGCATTCTCTTTGCATTTCTTATCATCCTAGGTGTGGATTGACTCTCTCTTGCATACTGTGCTACAACCTGTCTTGCATTTGAGTTTGATAACCTCATTGCATACTCACCCTTGCAAAGAAATTGCTTATCAATATAATTTAAGAAGATTTTTTTTAACTTTTAAGAGTTGATTGTGTCATTGTTTCTGCACGAAAATAGATTATTTTCCTCATGATTCTTTTGTGGCCACTCGAACAGAAAATCATACACTATTTTCTTTCATGAAATCTTTTTAGATTAATAGCTCGCTACTTTCTTTCCTACTCCATAGAACCTCAAATATCCACCACTATCACAATATGAATTCTACTCTTTGGGACCTACTTTTCGATTCTGTGTGATTTCATGAAACATTGGCAGCTTAACACTTCTGATAGGGTCAAACCTCATTTTCTATAGAAATTATCATTTCTCCAACCTTTTAATACAAATTTTTTAAAAATTAGATAATATTCACAAATTATAAACTAATATTTATCGACATATATTTACTAACATATACAATAAAATAAATTATAAAATTAAAATAGTCAGAATATCAAAGCACATGCCTTCTCCTACCAAAATGCCATTCTAGAAATAGACATGTATCATTTTGTTTTACTATTTTTACTAATTTTTCTTTCATCATACAAATCTAAAAACAAAGTTTCATTCTTATTGTCCTTCTGTAAACGATTCTGTTTCATCTAATGAACACAAACGAAAATCAAATCACTCAAATAAATATTATATAATATAGTAATATGTCAAAAACTATTTTCTTTCTCTATTGGATTCTCTTTTATAGAACAAACACAAAACAACGAAATTTTTTTTTATTCATTCTCCACACGGTTTTTTTCATACAATAAACAGAAACAAAAATCAAATCTCAGAACAAAGTAAAAATCTTATATAAAATAGTAACAACATGTGTCATATTTTTATTTTATTTTTGTTTTCATAATTTTTGTGGACTCTCTCTCATAAAAAAATACAAAACAGCATTTTTTTCCTTCTCCACTAGAGACTCTTTCATTATGTCTTCTACTTCAAATTCTTTAAGAAGATTTTTTTAACATTTAAGAGCTTACTAGATGATTGTTTCTATGCAAAAAAATAGATTATTTTACATATCTGTTGTGGCCAACCGGACAGAAAATCATGTACTATTTTCTTTCATAAAGTCCTTTTATATTAATGGCTCACTACTTTCTTCCATACTCCATAGAACCTGAAACATCCACCACTATCACAATTTGAATTCTACTCTCTCGGACCTACTTTCCGATCTTTTCTGTGTGTTTTCTAGGAACAGTGGCAGCTTAACTCGTCTAATATGGTTTCATTCCTTTTCTCCTTCTGCAAACGATTTTGTTTCATCTAACCAACACAAACGAAAATCAAATCATCGAAATAAATATTATATAATATAGTAAGATGTCAATTTTTTTTCTATCTCTATTGGATTCTCTTTTATAGAACAAACACAAAACAACAGAAAACAAAGTTTTTTTTCATTCTCCACATGGTTTTATTTCGTAAAATAAACAGAAACAAAAATCAAATCACCCAACAAAGTAAAAATCTTATATAGAACAGTAACGCCAGGTGTCACATTTTTCTCATTTTTGTTTTCATAATTCTCCTCGATACTCTTTCATCAAACAAATACAAAAACAACATTTTATATTTTTTTTCCGTCTCCACTAGATTCTGTTTCATTATGTCTCCTACTTTATATTATTTAAATTTTTTTTTTTTAATTTTTAAGAGCTTACTAGATCCTTGTTTCTACGCAAAAAAAAGATTCTTTTCTTCATGTTTCTTTTGTGGCCAATCGAATAGAAAATTATGCACTATTTGCCTACTACTCTCCCTACTCCATAGAACCTCAAACCGCCACCAGTATCACAATTTGAATTCTACTCTCCAGGATATCCTTTTCAATCATCCCCCTGTGCTTTCATAGAACGATGGCAGCTTAACTCCCCTAATATGGTCAAACCTCATTCCCTATAGATATTATTATTTCTCCAACTTTTTAATACAAAATTTAAAAAATTTACATAATATTCACAACGTAAGAGCTAATATTTACCATTAAACATTTACTAACCAATATAACAGAATAAATTATGTAAAATAGTCAAAATATCATAATTCCGCGCAACGAGTGGAGCTTCTACTAGTTATTTATATAGCAATATAATGTTTGTTATTTTTGTTTTATTTAATTTTAGTATACAAAATCTTTCAGGAAATAAATCTTATATGGATGGTTAGTTAAGCAAAGTTCCATGAAAAGTTATATGGGTTACCTGATAAGCAATGAGGAAAAAAGAGGAATATTTCAAAGATGACATTAAATGTTCCAACAATTAACATATATATAATCCATTAAAAACTCAAAAAAAAAAAATTCAGAATTAAATCAATTTTCTCCATCTAATCAGAATAAACAAAATGGCGATAAGATCAACATCTGTTCTCATCCTATCCTTTATGTTATCTTGTGAGTTCTTGTCACTAGCTATTTCTCTATATTAAAACTACATAAACTCCAAAGCATGTTTAAATGTGGTGACTAAATCATTTCTTTTGTAGGCATAATCATGTTGCTTGTAACCAATGTAGCAAGAGCTTTGCCAATATGTGTATCGAAAGATGAATGCAAATCCGGTATATGGTGTGGTGATGGAAGTGGAGGAACGTGTTTTCATTTTTCTTGTCAAATATATATGGATTGTAGGAAACTTGTTCGTTGCAATACACCAGGGCCTAATTGTATGAAGGTAATATGAAGTTGTTAAAGAAAAATGCATGGTTTTATATGTAACTGCTAATGCAGTAATAAAATAAATAGTTTTTGGGCAATTCTGTTTTCTAGATCTGTTGTCGATTTATACACACATGAATCATATCCAAAATTTTGTTGCGAGAAATGTTTGTATTTGTAAACACTTAAGTTTATGGCCAAGTTAAGTTGATACAACAGGCCTACCACTATGCCGGTCACAATCGATGTCTCCATCCGTGTGTACCTAATAAGGTTTAAACTATTATTTATGCTGTTAAATTTTTTTAAAAAAAAAGCTTTAGCTACTATGTTGACCAAAAATGTATTTACTTTATGATTTCCCAAAAAAAAAAAGTAAAACAGTCACATATTAATAAGTAAAATATTACATTTTATTATATATTTTGTTTATTTTATAAAAATAAATTATATGGCTATGTCATTGCATTGATGATAACAAACACATATAATATTAGTTAAAAAACACGAGAAGAATAAATCAAAGGAAAAAAGAGAAAAGGTGATCTTTCAGGGAAAATCAAGAAGAAGAGGAGAGATGACTCAAAAATTGGTTAAAAATTATTCCATAATCGAGAGAAGAGAAGTCAAATATTGTTTCTCCTTCTTCACTTTTTTTTTTATCATATTTTGATATAACTAATACGTTTATGAAAAATTAATTAACAAACCCTATATTTTTTAAACTAATATTTCTATGATATTTTAGATACTCTTGAGGTGTCTGTTGATGCAAGAGTTTTCACTATTTATTAAAGTTTTATTCTTTTTTCCTTCTGCAAAAGATTTTGTTTCATCCAGTCAACACAAAAAATCAAATCAATTAATAAAATATTATATAATATATTAAGATGTCAATTTTTTTTCTTTCTCTATTGGATTCTCTTTTATAGAACAAACACAAAACAACAGAAAAACAATGCTTTTTTTTTCATTTTCTACATGGTTTTCTTTAATACAATAAACAGAAACAAAAGTTTAAAATCTTATATAAAATAGTAACAACATGTGTCACATTTTTCTTTTTTTTGTTTTCATAATTCTCGTGGATTCTCTCTCATCAAACAAATACAAAAGCAACATTTTATTTTTTTTTTCCTCTCCACTAGAATCTTTTTCGTTATGTCTTCTACTTCAAATTATTTAAGAAGATTTTTTTTAAAAACTTTTAAGAGCTTACTAGATCATTGTTTCTACGCAGAAAGTATATTATTTTCTTCATGCTTCATAGATTATTTTCTTCATGATTCTTTTGTGGCTAATCGGATAGAAATTCATGTACTATTTGCTTTCATGAAATTTTTTTAGATTAATGGCTCACTACTTTCTTCCCTACTCCATAAAACCTCAAACATCTGAAACAAGATGTTTTTCGGTCCTGAACCAAATATCCTTAGCCTTTAATCAGTTGTAGAATATGGATCAGGTATCAATTCATTTGTGGAAGATAAGATGCAAACAAAGCCATAAGTTAAGCAATGATGGGGTTTTTATTGAACTAGGACAAGTCTAACAACCTAACAATGCAATGGAAAGAAAACAAAAACTAATACAAGTGAATAGAACTAAGCAATGATCTTAAAGCAATGACTAAATAGGAACTAAGCAATACTGATAACTAAAGCAAGAACTAAGCAAGATGATCTTAAAAAAAAATTGATTAAAAGCAAGACTCAAGGTTCTAAGCAATTGTGGGATAGTGGTTTTCATGAGTGAAAATTGGGGATTTCTAACAAAGGGCATTCATAAGCAAGCAATTCTCAATGTTGTACTTCTAGACAAGGTATCTAAAAAGAACAAACTTGGCGTCAATACGCTTTCATATTCAACAAGATTGAAGTGTCAAACCCACTTGTGATGGTGTATTTTTCAACCATGAGCATAAAGATCAGAACCATTCTAGCCTAAGAGATGTACTAATCAAGCAATCATTCTCTCACCCAAGCAAGAATTCAGATCAACTTATCAATCTTGTGAACCAATAAGGACCTAGTTAGCTAAACACCAATCAAGAATATGAACTTAAACACACAGCTGCAACATCCTAACAGTGCTAAGCAATAAGCAGGAATGAAACAAAGGCAAGATCTTTCAATGCATACTATCTAACCATTAATCAATAATCTCAAAACCAGCATTATCTAGCCCTAAGCGAATCATCTAGCAATGGTGAATTATCACTTTGGTGTCACTGAACAAAAAAAATATAGATCAACCAAACGATCAAGCCAAATAAGTGAACCATGCTTAGAGATGAGATAACAAGCCATTTAGTGAACCATATGCATCAATCAATACCATATTCAATCAAAAGGAGCAAGCTTTATGAACAATAATCACTTTACAAGAGAAGGAGACAACAGAGAACAGTTAAATAAGCCTAATCACCCCTTAATCACATCTTAATCATCACTTTCCCTACTTAGAACCCTAAATCTAAAGTAGACTACTCACTAATCATGTTTAATCCCATTTGTTTAGAGTTAAACATGACTAGATGAGATTAAAATGCAAAGATGATAAATCTAAACTACCAAGGTGCTAGAACAATGATCAAGAGACAAGATTAAACCATAAAAATGCAAACTTTATTAAAGATAAAGATTCAAAGGCAAACCACCCTTTAAGGATTAGAGAAGAGAGAGTTTTTGATGAAAACTAAACTTGGATAGAGATAACTTTTTGTGGCTTTCCTATTATAGTAGGGAGCCAAAAGAAGTAAAAAAAACCAAAAAATAAGATAAGGTCAACAAAAGTCAAATGGTCAATGCGCGGATGAGTTGCATCGAGGTGGTATGAATGGTGTTCTGCACGATATGCGACCTCGATATGGCTCGTGCAGCATGTATCGGCTTCCTTGCTCGATGATGGACCTCGGTGCAGACGAATGGCTTAGAATCCTCATGCTGATCCTCTTCCTCTCGTCCTGCTGCTTACATCGAGCATACTCCACGAGTGTTCTGCTTGATATGCTTGCTCGATATGGACCACACTTTGCAAGAGCTCCATTTCTGACATCTTCTTCGATCATGAGCTGCTTCCATCTCCTTTCTAACTCCAAAACTCTCCAAATTCACTTGAAAACCACCACAAACATGCATATGTATGCAAATGTATGCAATCCCAAGCTAAATGCATTCCATGTTGATTCTAAGTGCAAATGATACTAAAATGCTAAACTATAATGCAAAAACAGAGGAAAAGATGCATGAAATAGAGCCTAAAATGCTCTAAAATAGCAAGCTATCAACATCCACCACAATCACAATATGAATCGTACTCTCTGGGACCTATTTTCCGATCTTTTCTATGTGCTTTCATGGAACAGTGGCAGCTTAACTCTTCTAATAGGGTCAAACCTCATTCTCTATAGATACTATTATTTCTCCAACCTTTTAATACAAAATTTTAAAAATGTAGATAATATTCACAAGTTATAAAATAATATTTACTGACATATATTTACTAAAAATATAATAAGGTAAATTGTACAATTAAAATAGTCAAAATATCAACGTGCGGACCTTCTCCTACCGATATGTCATTCTAGAAACTGACATGTGGCAAAATTGTTTTTACTATTTCTACCAACTTCTCTTTCATTGAACAAAGTTTCATTCATTTTCTCCTTCTGCAAAAGATTCTGTTTTATTTAACCAATACAAACGAAAATCAAATCATCCAAATAAATATTATATAATATAGTAAGATGTCAGTTTTTTTTTCTATCTCTATTTCTCTTTTATAGAACAAACACAAAACAACAGAAAAACAAAGCTTTTTTATTTATTTTCCGCACGATTTTCTTTCAAACAATAAACAGAAACAAAAATCAAATCACCCAACAAGTAAAAATCTTATATAAAATAGTAACACTATGTGTCACATTTTTCTCTTTTTTGTTTTCATAATTCTCCTAGATTCTCTCTCATTAAACAAACAAAAACAACATTTTATTTTGTTCCTTCTCCACTAGATTCTCTTTCATTATGTCTTCTACTTTATATTATTAAAGAATTCATTTAAAAAAAAAAATTAAGAGCTTACTAGATCATCGATTCTATGTGAAAAATAGATTCTTTTCTTCATGTTTCTTTTGTGGCCAATCAAATAGAAAATTATGCACTATTTGCCTTTATGAAATCTTTTAAGATTAATGGCTCACTACTTTTCTCTCTACTCCATAGAATCTCAAACTGCCACCAGTATAACAATGTGAATTCTACTCTCCAAGATCTACTTTTCGACCATCCCCATATGCTTTCATAGAATGATGGCAGCTTAACTCTTCTAATATGTCCAAACCTCATTCTCTATAGATATTATTATTTCTCCAACTTTTTAATACAAAATTTAAAAAATTTACATAATATTCACAACTTATAAACTAATATTTACCAGCAAACATTTACTAACAATTATAATGAAATAAATCATAAAATAGTTAAAATATCATAATTCCGCGCAACGCATGGACTTTCTACTGGTTATTTATATAGCAATATAATGTTTGTTATTTTTGTTTAACTGAATTTTAGTCTACATAATATTTAAGGAAATAAATCTTATATGGATGGCTAGTTAAACAAAATTTCATGAAATGTTATCTGGGTTACCTGATAAGCAATGAGAAAAAAAGAGGAACATTTCAAAGATGACATTAAATGTTCCAACGATTAACATCTATATAATCCATTAAAAACTTAAAAAAAAAATTCAGAATTAAATCAATTTTCTCCATCTAATCTGAATATACAAAATGGCGTCAAGATCAACATTCGTTCTCATCCTATCCTGTATGTTATCTTGTGAGTTCTTGTCTCTAGCTATATCTCTATATTAAAACTAAATAAACTCCAAAGCATGTTTAAATATGGTGACTAAATCATTTTCTTTTGTAGACGTAATCTCGTTGCTTGTAATCGATGTAGTAAGAGCTTTGCCAATATGTGTATTGAAAGATGAATGCAAATCCGGTATATGGTGTGGTGATGGAAGTGGATGAACGTGTTTCTGTTTTTCTTGTCAAATAGATATGGATTATAGAAAACTTGTTCGTTGCAATACACCAGAGCCTTATTATATGAAGGAAGTATGTAGTTGTTAAAGAAAAATGCATGATTTTATATGTAAATTCCAATGCATTAATGAAATAAAATAGTTTTGGGAAATTCTGTTTTCTGGATCTATTATCGATTTATAGACACATGAATCATATCTAAAAATTTGTTGTGAGAGAT